TGCAGACTACAAAAGTAAGAATTTCTACGGTAAACCTGGCTTATCAATAGCTGCTCTATACACCCCAGTTTCCTAGGAGGCTGGAATACCGTGTGTAAAATAAACAAACGCAGACTGCAACGACCTGCAGATGAGTTGAAAGATGTTATCTCAACAGCAGCATATTTTGTTCATGTATATGCATGTATAGATGCATCATACATGCCTATCATGAAGCATTAATAGTCACACGCATTCAAGTTCTTCATACCACATGTGCTGCTTGGAGCTATTATTTTAAACAACCTGCAAACCATTGCTCCATGAATCTGCATGTTACAAACCATTGTTTTTGTTTTTGGAAAGTGGTGGTTGTATATCCACAGTAATCAAACAATCTTTTAGTTTTCAAACATTTCAAAATTTATTAATGCTCTTCTTCTGCTGAATTGACTAAATGTTTGCTAAGTGTATCAAATTAGCACAGGAACACAGTTTCTATCTTGCACATATTTACAGAGTTAAAAATATCTGTTGCCTCTGTTTGTAGTTCAAAGAAAATATTTTTGATAGAAATCTACTGCATACGTTTCTTACATGTTAAGAAATCGTTCTTTATTATTGTGCAAAATGTTTGATCTGATTACAAAATAAATGAATGTTGTTATTGACCATGATGAATATTAATGTTACAGCTTATCGTCTTATGTTTACTGAACACGTTCTGTCAAGTTCGATTATTCTACCTCAGTTGTATCTATATTCACAAACTGGCCTGTCTCTATTTAACTGGTTGTTAATGCGAATATAAAGAACTGGAATTATATGGTACTTTTATTGCTTTACATGGGTTAGAAAAAGACTTGCATCATGGCTGTTCAGTAACAGTAAAGACGTCTGCTCCTCTGTTTGACATGGGGGTATGTAGGTGAAGTGGTCCCAGCGGGGTTCTGCACTGAAGTCGCCCCAGAGCCCCGCTGAGGTCAGTGGGTTCGTAGCGTGAATCCTCCCGGTGTCCTTAAAGACGGGTCGTATGACCACACCCCTATGACGACACCGTGTCGTAGATCAAACTGTATCCGTTTTCACTCATGGGTCAAGTTATAAAAAGTGAACGAGCGCAAAACCGGCTGGTCTGTCTTTCATAATAAAAGTCTGATCTCACGGGACCCTGGACACAAAATCACTGCTATCATATGATACATTTTCAAACTCGTGATGAAATGTCTTGAGGTTAGAATGAACTATTTTAGCTTTTACCTGGTATCTGGCTTGTTTGTCATGAGAAAACAACTTAACATATATAACTTATAATAATTCTATTTTCTATCCAAATCAGGAATCATGTTTTTGGCCTTACGGTTTGTATGGATATTCTTTAAAAAAGAATTGTACATTTCTTTTCATATCTTACATTTTGTTACAGTGAACATGTCCCCAGGGGAATCACGGTAGAATGCATGCTTTAAAAATTGTATTTTATGTGTGAAAGAACTTCACTTTGTGTTATTCCGAGGTATGTAATGGGAGAGGATAACAGCTATAGACCTAGCTATAGATAAGCTATAGACCTAACAAATACAATCCTTGAACACAACAGATATGAAGGGATATTAAGGGGAAAAATAGTTATAAACGTGTATGTACCCCGTTTTTAATTGATTTAATACAAATAGGTATTATTTAAAATGTTGCATTATAAAAAGTATGTCTTTAATATAACCCTAAATTAATAACGTACGTTTCATATCTTATGCTTCAGCGCGACTTTTATTTTGAAAGGCAATCCCAGAAGTGCAGCCCAATCTTTTAGCTCTGACACTCGCTCTTCGGGATTATTCGTAAACTCAAGTACCCCCCAACCCGCCGATGAGAACTGCAACTGTTTTTTTTTTTGTTTTTTGTTTTTTACAGCTGACACACTTCCCATTTCGATCAGGTCAGTCTCTTTTTCACTACTTGTATGGCTCGCTGAACCCTGAACCTAGTAGCTAACCACAGCGTAGCCAACAGCAACAACAGCGCTGTTACTCAGTGACAGCAAACAGGACGCACACTGCACGCGCGGATCCACGCCCTCTATCTCTCTGCTTGTGTTTATATTTCATTCTGAGCCCGTAAAAGTGGTTCTAACCCGCGGAGCCGGCTCCAAAAGTGTCCCCCAGTGTTATTTTGTGAGTCCCGCGGACGGCACCAAGTCAAACACAGAGGGGGGTCTGCTGTACGAGCTCGTAAAAGTTTATTAACGACGGAATTAGCTTCAGAGGAGAGATGAGTGCTTCTGTTTTCCCACCCTCTCATCTCCAAAACGTTAGGTTTCTGCACCAATGAAGGGGAGGGAGAGACAGGAGGAGGAGGAGGACGGGGTGGTGGTGGTGGAGAAGGGGGTGTTTAACAGTCCTACAACCATCTTCTGTCCCGTTTATCCGCCATATAGGCCAGCTCGATACTGCCGTGAACTAACTTCCTGCATGTGGCTGTAGCTTGAACGGGATTTCTGGGCTGAGCGGTCACTGCTGCTGTCCATGCGTGAGCCTCTTCTCCCCCCTCCGTGAATGGTGCGGAGTAATATCATCTGGAGAGGCCGAGGCCGACATTTTACCCCGGTCCGGAGGAGCATTAACTCGGAGGGGACATCCGAGGACACGCGTTAAGGTAAAGCCCGTCTCGCAGCTTTGTGCCTTTGGACAAATACATAAGCATTTACGTAAAGTTTTACGACCGATAATTAACTGACAAAATATTTAAAGCACATATAGAAAAAAATATGACGGCTTTTAACGGTCTTCTGTGATAAAAATGGCTACTTTCACACGGATTTACACACTGTAGCTGCACGATAAAGAACTATACTTTTGAATTTGGAATAATAAATGCACCGCGTTCACAAAAACATCTGGAGATATATGC